ACAGCAAAGTAGGACACTGAGCCAGTGGGTTTAAAACTGATAACCCCATGATGCATGGATCTCTGTCCTTTTTACATCTCTCATCCCCTCTGTGTTCCACATCCCATTTGGCCATGTCTGTGATCAAGAGCTTGTGGAGATCTAACATGTCCAACTGACAGTTTTGGAAAAGTAGCAAAGGAAAAAGAAATGAAAACGGTCTGAACATTAAGCCTGTGGATATCAGTCAGCATAGTCTTTGTGATCTCCTTCCCCATTTACAAAGTGATCACATATGTTTTTCAGTGACTGGCGAGGGGTCTATGACAAAAGTATACACTTTGAGTCACCGCAGCAGAACTGGAGAGGTTTTTGTCTTGGGGGATGGCACACTGCAAAAAGAGACCGTGGCAGCAAATCACTTGATCTTGCACCATTATGCAATTGTTACGTTGCCAGTTCGGCAGAAAATCTCACCATCAGGGTGAGATAAACTGCTTGTTTTCAGTAACTCTCACTGTCAGTTCACGTGGAATGATCTGGATTATGATTAAAAGGAATTTATGGCTGCATCTTAACTTATGAAATAGACTTCCTATAGAAGTCTAAATTAGGGGCCAAAAGTGTGCAAAGAAAACATCCTGCACACCAAAACATCAGAAATCAAAACTCAGACCAGGCAACATTTTTACTACCTTCTAGTGACCATTTTTTTAAGCCAACTGTAGCCTCAATTGCCTGTTTTTAGCTGACCGGACCAGGACCCGATCTGGTCTTCTGCTGCTGTTCTGCTTCAAGGTTCGATGTGTTCATGTGTTTTTTCCTTATTACTGTTGCCTTCCTACCAGCTCAAAGCACTACAAAATCTGCCATCAATAAGGCATTTTTGCCCAGAGAACTGTCGCTCACTGAATATTTTCTCCTTTTGGGACCAGTCTCTAAACTCTAGAGATGCTTGTTTGGGGGAAAATCAGTTGATCACCAGTTTCTGAGATACTCATATGAGTCTAGCATCAATAACCATGCATCCTTCAAAGTCACTTATAGCACTTTTTTTTTGCACATTCTAAAGCTCAGTTTGGGCTTCAGCAGGTTGTCTTAACCATGTCTGTCTGCCTAAATGAATCGAGTTGCTGCCATTTGAATGGCTGATTAGAATTTAATTTGCAATAATGAACAGCCGAACACCTGATAAAGTGGCTGGTAAGTGTTTATTAAAACACAACCTGATCAAACGAATAACACAGAGTTTTCATGTCTTTATCAAACACACTGAGTAGACACTGATGGTGCAGGTCAGAAAAAGTAAAATGTTGTCTGTGCTTACAGTTTCCCCCAAAGCTGCTTGGAGTCAGGTGTCGCAATTAAGGAGAGACTGGAGGTGTTGGAGAGGTGCCTTTCTCAGCAAATAAAGGTGCCTAAAGTGTGGTTACTCACAAAATTTGCTCTTTTTGACAAAGAGTGGCCAGTGTGAGTCATATCTCAATAACATTCACAGGATTTTAGAAAAAAAACATTTCAGAGATGCACACAACAGCGTATTACAAAAGACCTACACGTTCCTTAATCCTCAAATCCTTCACAAAGAGAGCAAATTCACGAGTGCTGCAGTACTCCTCTGCTTAGAAGTAATTTTACTGCAAATATGTAAGATACAAAGTATAGTCCTGCAAGAAGTTAAAAAAACCCCTCAAATGTAGGAACAAAACTGCAATCTATGTTTCCAATTTAGAAAGAAAGGAAAAGCTGAATAAGAATACTGTTAGCACCAGAGAGGAAACACCTGGTCTCAATAACAACAAACAAAAAAGTTATGGTAAACTAAATTTTGAAGCATAAAGGCAAATCACACAAAACTACTATCACTGCTTTGAGGAAACATGGTGGAGGAAGCATCATGATTTTGGGCTGCTTTCTACTTCAAGGTCTGGATGCCTTGCAAATACTAAGAGAAAAACTGAATTTCAAACTGTACCAGGGGAGAATATCAGTGCAGAAAAAGAAAAGAAAAGAAAAGAAAAGAAAAGAAAAGAAGATGCAATAAGCCATTGACCTGCATTTTTCAAATAAAAATTACTAAATGAGATCTTGGATTCAGATTCCTGACCTAAGCTTAACTGAGATGCTTACTGTTTTCATAATTAGCCAAAGGAAACATCTAATGGATGTTGTTGCTTATTCCAGCCTGCACAATGTGATTAATCAGTCTGAAAAGAGATGAAAAGCACCAGTGTTTGGTTGTTTTAACCTCACAAGTCAAATGACGATTAGACCACATAATATGAGTAATCATTGCAGAAATCACGGTAATTCCAGAGGGTTCACTAACTTTTTGCTTGCTTGTGTGTACTGCTGAAATAGCCAGCGGGAGCACTAAAATCAAATGAAATGAATTCTAGAGAATTAATTAAGCACTATAAAATTGAACTCTGGTGCTCCTTGATTATGTACGGTTCAAGCCGAGAGGAGGCCCGCTGGGCGCCGCATGTGATCCCTCTACGCACATTAGTTAACATGCCAAAGATAGACCCATGATAATGGGTGGGGGTGGGTGAAGAAAACAAGGCAACAAGAGAAGATGCTGTGGTGAGTAAAGGCCATTCAGAGAGTCAGAAGGTCTACTTATCTCACGCCATGTCTTAATCTTCAACAAGAATGAAAATCTTGAAAAACCACTGACATGATAGTTACTACACTACATTAAACAAGCAGATGAGTTCAATATTTTTTTCAGTGTTATGTCACACATCATCTGCTCACTGAGAAACAACTGCCTTTAATTATCAAGGTGCGAAACGCTCGCGCTGCGCTCGGGTGTCTGATACTATCTTCCCAGTGACCGAAAAAGCGAGGAATAAATTAATCTCAAGTCTCTAATGAACTTAATTTGATGTTGCGTTTGAATCGCCGAGTGTTGATTTGAAGTTATTCAAGATCAGAGGCATATTATTATTAATCAATTCTGCTGCTGGTGTACACAGAAAGTGAAGTTTTGAAAGCTTTGTAATACAGGCAAAGCATCTATCTGTGATATAATGATGCTGATACACATTTAATACACATTCCTTTCACACTTCAGTTGGCTCACAGGAGGTTCCTTCACTGAAATAACCCTAATGAAGCATTTTTTAAAATTTAATTTCATACAAATATCCATAAATGACTCTGTTTCTTAAGCAGTAGACGATGAACTTCAACTTCTGTCTGTCTGGGTTTGACTTTTTCATCTAGATCTCATTAGACCTTTATTATAGTGAACAAATGATTCGCTACAACGACAAAAACGAATCTGTCTAGATGGGGAGTTGTGCTGGGTTAAGGGCAGGATCGTTGTGTTTAGCAATGACTGCTTTTTGTGTTTCGGCAATCTTCATCATTATTTTTCCAATATAATCACCAGGTGATCAATGTTGTACCATCTGTGCCATTAGCATTCAAAAATAAACAGTGAAGTTGCATAGATTCAGGTACAGCAGCTACTGAGACAGTGACACAAAAGGAGTTTATATAACTCCCAGCACGAAAAGAAAGTAATATAGGCCTATTCATCGGGGGACCTTTTTTCACAATGTATCATATAGTTTCCTGTGTTAGTGAAGACAGTGTTGCAGATGCAGGCTGTACAGGACCGGCTGTGGCTCAGGAGGCAGCGCAGATCATCTACTAATTAGAAGGTTGGTGGTCTGCAAGCCAAAGTATCCTTAGGCAAGATAGTGATAGTGCTCCTGAGAGTGAATGTGTGTGTAAATGTACTTAGACTAAGAAAAAAGTGCTTGTATAAATCTGTGTGTGAATGGGTTAAAAATACATGTCGTAAAAAAGCCCATTAGGTGCTTAAGTAGAACAGAAAAGCACTACATAAGAACCAGTCTACTTACAAGTAAACTGGGACATCACATCTTTTTTTTAAATCATCTTTTCAGGTCAAACAGGAAGAAATATGAATAACATACATTCACCAAATTAACTGTTTTAGCTTATGTCTAAAAACCACCTTAAAAACACATGTGACAAATATGGAGCAGTCTGTAATTGACAAAAATCTAACGGTGAAACAAGGAGCTGATGAGATGGGATCAACTAGCATTTCTAACAAATGGATCAATGTAGGCTTTCCTTACACACACATTAATTTCAAAGAGGCGCAAGCGTGAACTGTCAATACAGTTCACGCTCATGCACACTGGTGCCTCAATGAGAGAGAGACAAATTAAATAAAATCTAAATTTTAAAATCATATTAATTTAATGCGCCAGTGGGAAAAATCTGTTAAATAATGCAGTGACTGGCAAGCTACTGGTGCGCATTCTGACCACAGTCAACGCACAACCCAGCTGCATGCAACATGTAGATGCTGGTGAAAGGTGAAAGTTAACATGAATCAACAACTGAATTATTAAAAAGAGTGTAGCTGGTGCAGCAGCAGACCACAATCTCTCAATCGCACCCCATTATGTCAGCGTGGAGGTTCACAGATGACACAGCAGATACCCGTCTTCCAAAGCTGTTTCTTCAAATACAGAAGTTTTTATACCTGCGGTGCAAAACGTGCCCCCACAGGCTAGACTTCCAGCAGGTTTTGTGACTAAAGAAAATATTCTAAAATAAGACCAAAATAAGACACTGAGAATGGAAGTTAAATCACATTTAGAACAGAAACACAGTCAAACTTTCCAACCCTGGTTTAAAAGGACCCTCTGAGTTTTTGCTACCAGAATATGATGCCTATAAGCACAAACATAATGGAAAATTTAGATAATCTAAACTACTAGAAACAGGAACAGAGAGAGGAAGGTAGATGAAACGAAACAGAGAGACAAACAGAAACAGAGAGATGTTTACCATTGTGTGTGTGTGTGTGTGTGTGTGTGTGTGTGTGTGTGTGTGTGTGGGTGCAGGTGTTTAAGCTACTTGTGGGTGGATGCTCTGATGTTCAATAATGCATCAGGTGCTTCTACAACGCATTCATTAGTGTGTGTGTGCCTGTTAGTCTTTTTGTCTGTGTTTGTGTGTGTGTTCACCTGTGGGCGGATGACTCTCTCGATGCTCTTCAGGGCTGTGTCAGGGGAGGGGGGCGAGCAGTCCGGTGTGGGTCCTGTTGAGCAGTTGCCATGGTTACCATGCTCCCCCTCACTCACCGTTACATGGGACAAGTGACCTTAGAGGGAGAGAGAAAGAGTGAGAGACAAGTAAAAAGAAGAGGGGAAGACTTGCCCTTTGTACCCCCTTCATCATCCACAGGAGGGCGGAGTCTAAAGCCAGATTACCATTTCTACGATACTTGCAAGCAGATGTGTTTGGATTTAAACTCTGCATGTAAACAGAGTCACAGTTAAAGTCAAGGAACAAAATAACACAGAATAAATGTAGTATTATGGGACAGACATTTAACAACATCCAGTCAAAATACTGCAATATACACCGATCAGGCATAGCATTATGTGCACCTGCCTAATATTGTTGGGTCACCTTTAACTGACAAAACCATCTTTACCCATTGAGGCATGGACTCCACTAGACCACTGAAGGTGTGCTGTGGTATCTGGCACAAAGAAGTTAGCAACAAATCCTTTAAGTCCTGTAAGTTGTGTGTGGATTGGAATTATTTGTCCAGCTCATTGCACAGATGCTTGATCGGAGTATGACACCGACTTGCCTTCTTGCCATAGTGGATCATGGGTCCAGGTATTCCCCAGGTAAGCAATGCACCCGGCCTTCCACGTGATGTAAAAGAAAACGTGGATCATCAGACCAGGCTACTTTTTCCCATCCAACTCTGATGCTCATGTGCCCATTGTTGGCGACAGTGATCTACACGGGCACCCTGATTACTCTATGCCTATGCAGCCACATACCAACAAACAGCAATGCACTGCTTTTTCTATCGGCTTTCTATCAGAAACAGCATAAAATTTTTAGGCAATTTGACCTAAAATAGCTCATCTGTTGGATCTGACCACACACGCCAATCCTAACGCTGCAATGCATCAGTGAACCTTGGCTGCCCTGGACCCTGTCGCTGGTCTTTAGAAAAAACAGGTGAGAGCTTAGCCAGTCTTTTCAGACTATATCAGTTGCCAGCATGAAGCAGTATAGACAGCAAAATAGTTTATGTAGGAAACAAAACATAGGTGGTGTAATAGCGTGTTAGCATTTTCTAGTTCCCGCTAAACACATGAGAATTCAGCAAAATGGCTAATGTGTCATATTATGTATAGTACTTCCGCCTAACAGTGACCTGGTAGTTACAGTTGTTTTATCACTGAAGAGAACCAAAGAGAGGTGAGTGCCATTTTGTAATTTTACAAGCTTCAGCAACATCCACAGCAGGAAAACGTGACTGCTGTCCAGAGCAGTTTGATGTCTATCTCAGTTTTCTATACACACACTCAGTGTGTGCAGTTGATTACAGAGTATCTGAGCTAATTTCCCCAGTGCATGATCCTTTAGCAGAGAAGAGGGGAGGAAAAAGGAAAAGAAAAAGACCAGAAAGGAAGGAAGAAGAGAAAAGTGCTGAAGTCGACTGAATTAACTTTCAGCAGGAGAAAGCATTTGTCTTAATCAACTGGAAGAGACACAATACCCAGACTAACACAGCTTTCTCGCAATATTGTCATCAGACACACACACACACTCTCGCTAGATGTTTTCTGTCAGTTACCACCTGCCTACACAGACTCGATCAGATGCCAGAATATCATCCAATTAAGGTGTGAGACCCAGTCGGGACTATTACCTCACAAGTGTGCATACATGTACACACTGACACAACAGCACTAAGAACAGAATTATATATTTCATCTGATTTCCAGGGATTGTTTCTTAACTAAAGCGACAACATTAAAACCACGTGCCTACTACGTGTATGTACGACCCCCCCACGCCCCCTTGTGCCACCAATAGAGCTCTAGCATGTTCTAAAATGGGCCAGCAGCTCTGTGGTGGTGTCCTGTGGCATCTGGCATTGGACCTCTGGTAGTGTTTCAGGCTTGTTCCTGTGCATCCTGGATTGGATGAATTAATTAGTTCTGCGGATTGATTATTTTTGCTCCTATGTAGGGAGAGTGCTGCCATCTGCTTGGGCTGCAACAATGTTAAGGTGGGTAACTTTGATATGAATGCCCAGACGCATGGTGTCCCAGCAGAACACTGCATTCTTACAAGATAATCGCATAACTTTTAATTATGTGGCAGGTCCACTTAGCTCATTTCAAATGGAAACTGAAATAAAAGCAGTGCTCCCTGTTGTTGTTTCAACTTGGATGTCGTTGATGGTGTGATTTTTCACAACTCCCACAAATCATCTTCACCTATTCAAAAAGAACAAATGTATAAAAAAGGGAGAAATGTGGGGCTGCTGCTGATGTTTTGCATAATGACACATACAGCGTCCTGTAATTTAATGAGCGACAAACGCCTTTACTTTACATTTACCAGGATGTCAGCCTGCAGAGGAGGAATTCTAATCTTCATGTGGAAAAAAGAAAGCAAGAAGAGGTACCAAATTATTTGTGAACAAACTGAAAAGGATAAAAATAAAGTTGTATTCAGATTTTCTTTTTACTGTAATTGAAAGTAAACTCTACATTTTTTTTGTTACTTATTATGACAGAATTTTTTAATAATTAAAAAGAACATGGTAACTTTTGAGAAAGCAATAAGAAAAAAAGGATAGCAGCAGATGCATTAGATCCCTGAAGACATTCCTGGTGGAACAATATTCAGTCTAAAAGGTTGAAATCAGCCCAAAATTAAAGTGAGCCAAATAGAGAAGAAATAAAATACAGCAGATACGGTGTCTGGTGTATTAAATGAAGCTTCTGCCCTGGATTATAAGTTTGAGATGAAGCCATTTACAGTCATTCAGTGTAGCTGGTCTTAGCTGACAAACACTGTTGCCATCTGTTTTTAACATTTAACAACCACACAGAAAGAATATATCATTTCTTATATATTCTGAGAAACTCTTGGGATCCTTTTTCAGTACACTTTAGGTCATTATCCATTTGGCTAAATCTGACATTTCATCCAGCTACCGGTACTTCTATCAGCAGTCAGATCATCAGTAAATACTAGTAAGCCAGTTCCACTGACAGTAATACGAGCTCACGCTTTCACATAAGATCTACCACACTGCATTATATCCACGCTGTGGGTTGCGCCACTTCTAAAGCTTTGGCATCTCTCTGATTGAAAATGATGGCCTCTCACTCTTATCAACATCTCTCTGGGCCTTGTATCCAGTAAAAAGCTACCAAAAGCAAATATAATTGGACCCAACTTCGGATCTTCAATCAGTTCAGTCTGTCGTACAATTATAGAGCAGGTCTCACCTTGCCACACAACTGCTTATCAGTCATTCGTCCAATTTATTTTAAGCTCCTAAAAATGAAGCACTGTTTCTTGTTTGGTTTAAAATCTACTGTGATGGTGTACAGAGGTAAATTTCCCTCTTGTGGAAATAATTGCTTATTCTTTATTGACATCTAATAACTTAAGATTTTTCAAAAATCTACCAAACAGCATTTTAACAAGAATCCAGAAAAACAGCAAGTAGGACCAATTTTCACAGTAACACAAAAGAATGAGGCTCATTAGAGAAGAAATCATAAACACTGAGAAAATGCTAGCAGGAACAATAATCGAGCAACAGAGAGAAACACGATTTGCAAAGATGTAAACCTCATAAGAGACCATTTCCAGACGCAGCTAAAACTCCCTGAAGTCCTTAAATACTAAATAAATAAATAAAAGAACTGTATTTCTTTTCATGGAAGATTTTCTGTATACTCCAGCAACCTGAAGTTACCAGTTTTATTGTGAAGCAGCTTTAAAACCAAAAATGTCTGATCCTGGTTTAGAAATTGCTACCATCTTCCATCCTATTTTGATTTTGATTTTTCAACAGTCTGGCTGCAGACGTGAAGCCACACAATCACGCAGGCACATCTGTCCTGCAGGGGGAAAGTGACACAGCTTCACAGCATGCTCTCACATCTATCAAACATGTTTGCAAACACACACGAGCATGCGCATGCACACATACACACACGCATGCACCATAAAAGAACTGCCTGGAGCTGAATCAATGTTTAAATGTAGGCGTAAATAGATAAAATAAAGAGTGAAAAAAATGGGAGAGAGAGAAAAAAGGAAGGAGGGTTATATATAGATAGGGATTGAGGTTTTGTCCTATTGAATAAGCCTGTCAACACTGTTTTTGATGATGGATGTAAGATGTGTGTGTGAATGTGTCTGTTTCTGACTCTGCTTCCTTTACATGTGCCTTGGGCTCACTCCTGGGAAACACTCTTAGCTGTCCTTGCCAAAGAGAATACATGTTTGTATGTTAGTGTGCATACAAAAGTGCACATGCGTATGGGTGTCGAAATGTAATCTCTGATGGATGTTGTACCTGTTCACATCCTTGATACTGGGAAGCGCCGAAATGTTTCATTGTACAGTTTCTGTGTCTTATAATAGAGCCTGGATATATTCAAATATAACTCTGTGTAGATCCAAGACCAGCTGCCCTGCTCTTTACAGCACCCTGTAGAGGACCCGTGTGTCTAAGTGAATGCTCGGTGTGCGCAAGCGTTCAATCAGCTGTCCACTTCCTGGTCATCTAACAAGACAAAAACTGTCAATTTTAGACACGTTCTTTGGGCTGTCAGTTCTGCCTCTCTGCCACTCTGGGGGTATTTCATATGTATAGTGTATGTGTGTGCATGCAACCTTGCAAGTCAGTGTCAACTTACAGCTGAGCTTCTGTGTTTTTTTTAACACTACAGTTGGAATCGAAAAAAGAGGAAGTTTGAAAGTTTTATTTACCCATGCACTACAGCAAAGACGCTTTAGCCAATCCCTGTGGTTTGGGGTTTCAGCTTAGGATAACTTTAAATCCACACAGGGAATTGAGAGTAATAATCTTTAAGATCCTCATTAAATCGAGGCCAATTCAGTACTATTTTTGGTCTGTATCTTTAGTCATTCAGTGTATTTATATTTTGTGAATAGCCCTTTTGTACAGAAGTTGCCATTGTTCCCACCTTGGGTGGAAATTGTGTTCATGCTGAATTTCTGAGTTCTACTATAAACAGACATCAGCTGATCTTCTGTTGCATTTCAGACAAAGTACAGTTGCTCCTCAGGTTATTT